CCTTTGACATATATTATATATATATATATATATATATATATATCACAAATCGATCACATAACATATTTTTTAGCAATGAAAAAACTTGGTAGTGATACACTTTTGAAACAAAGTTTTTAGACTGGGAGGTAATATAAAAGTTATAAACAATTCAAAAATAAAAAATCAAATCAAATCTAAATATGCATCAATGTGATTAAATATTATGTAACCCAGCAGCTGATGATTCAATGGGTGAAAGGTGACAAAGTTATCCTCAATATCTTGTATTCGATTTTATTGGTTGAAAAAGATGTAATATCTGGATCAAAATAGTCCATGTACAACGATTGATCTCAAACCTAAGGTGGATGTGACGTCCCATATTTACTCTTGGTGCGAATCATTGCAATTAATAAAAATATTTGCATTTATGAAATTCAAAATGCTATTCAGATGAACAAAACTTTGAGGGTTTTCTTTTTCACATGTTGATCAGTCATATATATATATATATAATTATCTGGTTATGTATCATTCAAATATCTCTAGTCATAGTCAAATAATATGAGTACTTAATCATTCGACTTTATACGAGATTTTCAACGTTGGGTAGCATGAGCAGCCATTCGTACTCTGTCTTTGTTGTTTTTTCTTTCATGAAATTATATATATGTTTACTTTTATAAAACGATAAGATGAAATCAATACGACAAATAAAACGGGTATTTTTTTTTTTGCAACATCGCGTTTTAATATATTTCGAGATTATACATAAAAAAAATTACAACTGTATTATTATTTACGGATATTTCAACTAAAGAAATTTAATATGTCCTACGGAAGATACGAGCATTAATGATGATTGAAATTAATGATCATTTGCCTTCTCGCGCGTGTGTGTATCGATTGATGGCAAGATAATTGTGACAGCATGACTAGGGGTTGTTCAAAAATTAAATTTTAACAGGTCCGAACCTACTTGTAAAATTAAAGTACAATTGTTCGATTTTAAATTTGATTTTAAAAATTTTAAACTACTTTTAAAATTGGGATATAAATAAGTATTATTTTGTTTAGATTTTTTTTTTTTGTAATTGAACTTAAATGTTGGTCTAGATATAAATTTTGTAATGAAAGAGATTAATTTTATGATGAAAATTTAATAAATTGGTCGAGAGACGTGGCAGTTTGTACATATATAGTAAATGAATCGACACTTACCATAAATAATTTAGATGGTCGAAAAGTGGTATGTTATTATATCATTATCATTACATTATAAGTGGAGTGACTAAGTGGTGGGTTATTATATCATGATCATTATATTATAAGTAGCTGATATTCCAAATTTCGATATATTTTCTTTCTATTTCTTTCCAAATTTCGTATTTGTTTTATTCTTTATTTTCTTTTCATTCTATGGCTGTCGTTGGTTGCTCGTTTGTATCGTAACCTTCTCGCCTAATAAGTTCGGAGAATATATATATATATATCTCTTTTTTAAATTATAATTTAAAAAGATAAGAACAATAAGATCGCATTATTTTATGAAGAATAATGAACTTTCGAATTATAAAAAATGAAATATATTATTTTCCGTTGTATCTTAAACTATTATATAATGATATTTATAGTACAAATCCTTATGTCAACGGATTGCAACACTTTTTAAAGACTTGTAAATAAATTTTTAAATGATTTCAATCTAAAATTTTAAAATCAAATATCATTTAAATTCAAATCTAAAATTTTGAACGAGATGTAGGGCAGGTATTTTTTGTTATCATTATTCTTATCATTATCATGATAATATTATTCTTTTCTTTTAGACGGAAATTATTATTATTATTAAACATAATTTTTAAACAATGTAATACGTAACAATTCATTGGGCGGATTTTAGATAGGGAAAAAACCTACAAATTATTGGTTGGAGTAATATTAATTCCTGAATTTGTAGAGATACTATTAATTCCCAAACTTGTAAAATTGAACACATTAAATTCTGAATTTGTTAAACGGTTCTATAATCATCCATAGTGTTATTTGGTCAAAAAAACAAATTGACCAATCCGACGTGACGCATGACGTGGCGAACCAACTCAGAAAATTACTGTCACGTATGCAATTTTCGGTTCTTCGAGAAACCGACTTTAATCAAACGTACTGCACAGTAAATTGGGTCTCGGTTTCAACGAGCCAACCTCGGTGCTCGACCTCTTTGGAAGCCCCAGTCTCGCCGCCATCGCAAATAAGCCTTCGCTTGCCGCTGCGGAGGAGGTATCCGGTAGAGGACGAACTCGATCTGAAACCGGAATTTCTGATCCACCGCGAACAGAGAGAGATCCCACGCTAACGGATTTTCAGATCCACCGCTTTGTCTCGACAGCGTAATCTTCCGGCACCACCGACGTGACTCTAAAAAATCCACCGCTAACGGATGATTTCTTGGCGATCTCTCTCATGAGCGACGCGTATTGACTGTTGAATCCGTCGGAAAAATCAAGTAAACCTCAGACGATGCGAAATCCGTCGGGTGGAGCTGGTCGGGAAAATCACGAAGCTGAGAATCGACACCGTAATGTGTCGGAATGGCGACAGTGGCGAAACCGGTGGTCCCCTTCTCCACCGGATACCTCCTCCGCAACGACAACCGAAGGCTTATCCGCAATGGCGGCGAGGCTGGGGCTTCCACGGAGGTCAAGCACCGAGGTTGGCTTGTTGAAACCGAGACCCAGTTTACTGTTCATTACGTTTGATCATGCACCAGGTCGGATCGATCAACTCGTTTTTTGACCAAATAATACTATGGACGATTATGAAACCGTTTAACAAGTTTAAGATTTATAGTGTTCAATTTTACAAGTTTGAGAATAAATAATTTTATATTATTCTAAATTATAAATTTAGAAATTATTAAGATTTTTTTTCTTTTCCGTAATAATTAAGGAGAACAAACCACGCGGATAATTGAGAAATTTAAATAGAGGATGGTTAGATTTTTCATGAATATTTTATTTAATAAATATAAATATTTAATATATAAAAATAAATTAAATTTAAATATTACTTAATATTCTTCTATGATATTGAAGAATTTTTGTTATAAATAATTTGGACATTAGTCTGAATCTGATCCATTCGAAGGAAGAACCAAGTGTTCTGAGTATGCAACACGTCATCTGACACGTGGCACGTTGTCCCCTTTGCTGAGTCTTTCCTACGTGGATCAACCAAAATCTACGTGTATTATATTAGACGGTCCTATTATTTTATTATTGAAAGATCTTGGTCTATAATCTATATCATATGGTAATGTATTATTGTACAATTGTAGAGTGGATACGCACACGGTATATCACACTGTCTTTTAGAATTAAATAACAGGTCAATAAATCATCCACGAGTCAAAGAGTTATCATGCATTAGTATTTAGTAATGGTTATTAAGTATATTAATGTTATTAAGGTTTTATTTTTAATTAATTGGTCAGATTTGTAAAATTCACGAGGTTTTATATACATATATGGTTTATATGCAGTTATAATTTGTAAAATCCTATTATATTCAAGTTCAAATGGCCCATAAAAAACTTCTGTTTAAATATTGAAAATCTGAAATAAATTCAATAATATATAATTACGATATGAATTAATTTTGATTTTAAAGTTATTTTTTTATATACTAGAAAAAAATGAATTAAATCCTCTTATTAAAAAAATAAAAACTACATTTATGTTTTTCCTCTGATAGAGATTTCTCGTAAGTCGTTCTTGCAATCTGGATGGACAAAATGCCAGCTATTTTTATTTTAACTCGTGGACCAACATATATATATATATATATATATATTATACCCACCTAATTAATTGTTTTTTTTTTGTGTTCAATGGCGGCTCAGTGCTTGGGAGGTGTCTGAAGGAACGAAAATCAATTAACATATATAGGCTTAAAAAGGATTTTATTTTTCAAAAGAAAATATGGTATATAGAATTTATTCGAAAACAGTTTACAACCAAATATTATAGGTATTTGTTCATAAAATGCTCGGCATTTCGAGAGAGATATATATATATAGATATATACATATATCGTTTTATTTGTATCTATTGTGCATTATTTTCACATATACGTGCGTACGTTTTATATCTTCTATTAAATTTAATCTTAGTGTAATATAGTTATTAGTTATATTAATTGCCAGAGTCTTGTCAGCATTAATTAATATGATAAAGACATCTGTGAATGATTACAATAAGAAAAGTCAAGATGATCCGATTAACAATACCCCCATTAAATATTATATTTAATTTATATGGCTAAAGATTTATTTCAATTTTTATTTTATGCATGTGAGATTACAGTGTGAATATCCAATCTAATACATTACTGACCATTATATAAGATTATTAATGTATCTTGTCACAAAACTGATCCAAATATTTGTTGGCTATATGAATAACCCATCATCATCATCATCATCATCCTCAATATCATAAAATAACTATATTTTTAAATATACAGATATATAAATATAAATATATTATGAATTACACTAAAATCTATCTTGGTTATTTGTTTAAATATACATTATAATTTATTTTTAACAAAACTTGTAATTTGTAAAAAGAAATAAAACCAACTAAAAATATAATAATAAACAAATTTCACGTGGATATAAACTCTTCCTAATTTACAACTATTTCACATAATATAACTAGAAAATGTCAAAAAGATGATTGGTCTTCTGAAAAACAAAAATAGAAAATTGATAAATTTAAAAAAAAAGTCGATGAAAATAAATATATGATTTATATACCTATATACTAGAAAATCGACCTTATTTAAATGCTATAGAAAGGTTAGTAGATAATGGATAATATTGTGGATTAAATGTGTGGTTATATTCAGATAATATAATAACGGTGGTGGTCTAAACCTTACAACTCATGTTGTATGTATGTATTAGGCTGACAACCGTGAAGCTGTAACGAGGCAAACGGCTTTCGGTTTCGTACTGTGTGAACTAAAATAATATCCAGAAAGTAATTAAAAAATATTATAACTAATTTAACAAATAATTAATTAAATCATTTTTTATTATTCGGTGGATCCTAGAAATTGCCCTTATATTATTCTTACTTGCCATCCAAATGCGATATCTTTGTCCGTCACCAGCAAACCTTTCCTCTTCATTGCTCTGTTCCTGAGAAAAAGAGTTGCGCCTACGAAGAAACAAGAAACCCACGAAGAAAAGGTTCTAAATTTGTGAAGATTGAGGTTGGAATCTTCATTTTCCGTTGAATTCACGACGGCCCATCTTCTTAAAATCCCAGGATCTTCGATCTCGTGGAGGGTTGTTCTGGAGTTTTGTCTCCCGTGCCTGATGGGTGCGGGTTTCTCTGCTTCTCAGAATGATTTTTCCGCTAATTCCTATGATGGGTATCGGAATTTGTTGAGGCCTAATCTAGGCGATTTGCCGGAGAGTTGTGTGGCTCTGATCGTTGAGAATTTGGATCCGGTGGAGATCTGCAGATTCGCGAAGCTTAACAGGGCATTTCGCGGCGCTTCCTGGGCGGATTTCGTCTGGGAATCGAAGCTTCCCCCGAATTACAGGCTTATTCTCGAGAGGATTCTCGGTGGTTTCCCGGAAAATTTGCAGAAACGGGATATTTATTCCTGCCTTTGTCGGATTAATTCCTTCGACGACGGCACCAAGGTTCGTGCTTTACAACCTCTTCGTTTCTCTCTCCTCCTTTTGCGTTGTTTGGTTTCCCGGAAAATTTAGGGGTTTTTAGGGACTTTTTCTTGTGACGATAACTCGTTTAATGGCGGAAAACATAATTTTCTAAGAACTTGTAAGAACCCATTTTGCTGTATCTGAGTTTCTGTTTGCTTCCCGGGAAAGCCAGGAAATTTTCTTGATTGAGACGAGACAAGAAGAATATCTAATCCTTCAAATGCGTTACTTGTAGAAACTTATGCGTCGATTTGGTTTTGTGACGTGACTTGATTCTCCTGCAGAAAGTGTGGCTAGATAAGAGCACAGGAGGTGTCTGTCTATGCATTTCTGCAATGGGTTTATCGATCACCTGCTTTGATGACCGGAGATATTGGAGTCATATCCCCACCGATGAATCTAGGTAAGACAAGACCACATTCAGCATTCGTTTTTCTTTTTCTTTCCCCCCATCATTTGCCTGTTTGATTCCTTGATTTAGTTCTTCAAAAGCATGTATAGAATCTTATCTTTGTAGGAAGATTGCTAAAGATACATCTTTTCTGCTCATAGTTTGTATTTCCCGGCAACCAGACTACGACAATGATAGTCCTCTTAAGACTTAGACAGTGTTTCTGTAGATCTTAGTCAATGGATTCCAATTTGTTCTGGTTTGCCTCTTGCTATTTTATGCTCATACTTGTTGGTATCTGGGTTTAGATCCGCGGCAACAGAGTTCAAATCTTCTGATCATACTTGTTGTTGATATGGTGGGCGAACATCTATTTCTTCTGTTCTAACCTCAAAGTCTGTAAATTTGCGGGAATACAACTCTGTTTCGTCCTAAATATGTTTCTTTGCTACCAGAATTTGTCTGTGTGCTTAGATCCGTGGCAAATGAGTCTGTTTAGTTAGGTTTTGATAGTCAAAAATTTATAATTTCCGGTTAAGCTTTGCATTCTCTGGCGACTGAATTCTGATATCATCTTATTTGACCATAGGGGCTCTTACCTTTCCTGTCAATGAATTCTGGTCAAAGATCTGGTGGTAACCCCCTGGTTTCAGGGACACGGTTTTGACCGACCAAATCTTTTCAGTTGCTTTGGATTGAAGATTTCATTGAAATTATATATATTTTTTTTACATCTGTTGAGACTTTATAAATTATCCACAAATATGTATTCAGAAGTTGTAAGAAATGGTATATACATTTATGTAAACAAGTCTTCAGCTTCTTTAACCGGTTCTGTGTCTGAAGAAGCAGCTTTTTCTTTGAAATATATGCAGATTTTCTTCCATAGCATATCTCCAACAAATTTGGTGGTTCGAAGTGGATGGAGAAATCGACTTCCCGTTCCCGGCCGGAACCTACAGCGTCTTTTTCAGGCTTCAACTAGGCCGACCCGTGAAACGGTTTGGCCGTCGGGTCTGTAACACAGACCAGGTCCATGGCTGGGACATTAAACCGGTTCGGTTCCAGCTCTGGACCGAGGACGGTCAATACTCTACGTCTCAATGCATGTTAACCAAACTGGGAAACTGGACTCGTTACCATGCCGGGGATTTTGTTGTCGAGAAATCGAAAAGGTCGAGTACAAAGATAAAATTCTCGATGACCCAGATCGATTGCACTCATACAAAAGGCGGGTTATGTCTAGATTCTGTCATTGTATGCCCGAGCCGGTACAAGAACCGGTTGAGGCGGTTTTAGGTTAACCAAACCGGGTCCGGTTTAGGTAGAGGTTAAAGCTGGTTTTTGAGAAGTTCTTTAGCCTTTTGTAGAATTTGGTGGAACACAAAATGAAATCTTGTAAAGAGGGAGAAAACCTTTTGAGATTAGCACAAACTATATAGCTTTTTAGTTTTAAGAGTTTTCTGAGTCTAGGTCACATATGTAAAACCTAAAGTTGTGAACTTTAAATCTTTTATTTGATTGTTCCTGCTCCATTCTGGTGGTACGGTGTTTGAATAACCTGGTTTTTGGTTTGAATCGGTTGGTTAAACCAAATCTGAACCGGAATGTAGCCTATAAACAGGATATGTTACAAGGGCATAACCGGATTCGGCTCTATTGAGAAAAGTTTCAAAATTGGCTGTAAGATGATCTATGGTTCTATATATCAAATCAGAATGCAAATGATGGCTATCACCTGCAGAAAAGACGTGGACTTTTCCGTTTAGCTCGATCCAACTAAGTCCAGGATCCTTCTTCATGTCCGAACAGACCAATCTCTTCCTCATGTTCATCTTCTCTTCCCAATTACTTGAATCTGCGGACATGTTCGAGAGTACAACATTTGCAGAAGCAGTTTTGGGTTCTAAATTCAGAATCTTTTCAGCTACCCTTTTAGCTGTTCTTGTGTGCTGCCACAGCCAGCAAGCATTTATCAAAGCTCCATAGATAACTTCGTCTGGTTCGATGGGCATTTGCTCTACAAAGTCTGCAGCTTCTTTCAAAAGACCTGCCCGGCCGAGGAGATTTACCACACAGGCGTAGTGTTCCACCGATGGTTTTACTCTGTAAGTTTCTTCCATTGAGAGAAAGAGTCTTAACCCTTCATGGACAAGACCAGAATGGACACAACTGGACAAGACAGCAGTTAATGTGGCTGAGTTAGGCTGAATCCTTTGTTCTAACATACTGTTGAAGAGTGAGATTGCTCTGGAGTGGATACCATGCTGTGAATAACCATTAATGAGAGCAGTCCAAGCAGCTACATTAGCGGAACTGATGGCCGTGAATGACTTACGAGCATCGGTTATACTCCCGCATTTGGAGTACATATCTATCAAGGAGGTCCCGACATAGACATTTGATTCCAACGGGGTCTTAGCTATGTGCCCGTGAATCACCTGTCCTTGTAGAAGACAACTAAGGCAAGAACATGAATGTAATAACACAGAGAATGTGGATCTTGTCCGTTCAACCGAACGCTTAAGCATTTCCACGAAAACTTCTAAAGCCTCATCATACTTCTTGTTTTGTGTATAACCAGATATAACAGCATTCCAAGTAGCTGAATTTCTTTCTTCCATTGTTTCTTTGAAAAGCTTTATGGCCTTATCAATTTCATTGTTCCTGAAGTAGATAGAAATCATGGTATTTGAAGAAATTATCGACTTGCAAGGCATTTTCTCAAACAACTTAATTGAATCGTCTGTGCGGCCTTGTAAGGCATACCCTTTAATCATCAAGTTGCATGTCACGGCATTCACATCATGAAGACTATCGAAAATCTTCTCCGCATCACCAAACAATTCTTTTGTTATGAGACTATGAAGAAGCGAATTTGATGCCTTCAAGGACGGGTTATCCATGAATCGATAAACACATTTGGCACCGTCAATTGCTTCACATTCACAGTAAAACTCTATCAGTGCAGCACCAACCATATCATCGGATTCAAACCCGTATTTTAACAAAAGTGCATGAACAATTCTACCTTCTTGCAGATTTCCAAGCCTCCCACAAGCTCGTATGACAGAATCAAAACTGAATTCATTAGGATGCACTTCTCCAGTTTCTCTCATCTTCCTGAACAAATGCAAAGCCCTCCCAGAATCCCTTTCGTTCTTCAGGTACCCTGAAATCATTGAAGTCCAAGATACGATATCCCGTTTAGGCATTTTCCAGAACAATTCAGATGCTTCATCCATCAAATTACATTTTACGTATCCCACAAGCATCACATCCCACAATAGCTCGTTCTTCTGGTACAGTTCATCGAAAACCCGCTCAGCATCCGCGATTCTGAAACAGTTAGCATAGAAATAAAGCAGAGAACTCCCCACAAAACCAAAACTTTCTGACCCAGATTTCAAGACGAGGCCATGAACCTGTTTCCCAAAATGAGATGACCGCGAATTCGCACACAAGCTCAGAGTGCAAGAGAAAGTTGTATCTGTAAATCTAACGCCATCAAGATGCATCATACGAACCAAATCCAAAGCTTCTTCGTATTGGCCCCATCTAGAATAACCAGAAAGCATCGCGTTCCACGAAACAGCCGTTCGTTGAGACATTTCGTCGAACAAGTTGCGGGCAACATCTAAACGCCCTAGTTTCACACGTTCTGTAATGGCGATATTGGTGGCAACAATGTCGGTACGATTGCCGCTCCTGTTCTCGTCTCCGGTGAAGAATTTTCTCCGATGCCATTTTCCCGAGAAAATTTTGCCTGGAAATTTTGGAACTGAAACGCAGCGTTTCATGCCGAAAGGAAACGGAAAGACCAAACATAAAAGAAACCGTTATTTTATGTTCCCTCTCAATAAAAACACTTTCCCAAAACAAAAGGTCCGGTTTTGTCCGAACCGGTTTTCTAATCAATTCAATTAAACCGGTCTCGGATCGGAAAATTTGGTTTTCCCAATTTCCATCTCTCTTCATCATCATCATCATCGTCATTATAATCATGATTATCATCATTTTTATTATTATTGATTTTGTTACAAAAATCTCAATAAAAGAAAACAATGAAGTTTAACGTGCCTCTTCGAAACATGATGAAGAGGAGTGAAATGTAAAACCGAAATTAATTTTAAAAAAAAAGTTATATACACAAAATCAAAATGAAAATAACCAAGCCTTGAGATATGTTCATATGCCCCTTGGTTTCACCCCGACCGACTTCAATGTCTCTGCATTCCTCGGCCTTCAGGTCCCCATGCAACAACAAACACACATGAATATACAATTTATCATTTTCATCTTCACCGAAATTTAAAATATTTTTGATTTGATTAGGTTAGGGTTTATTTACAATTATTTGTCTTGTATTTAAAGAACTTGTTCACCATTTGCAAATAAACCCGAGTTTTTTTATCAAGAGAACGAGGGGGACGTACGTGGTATAGGGGTCGGGTCGGGTAGGATCGGAAAGGACAGCCTTGGACTTGTCTTGGATCTGGCCAATCTTTCTGAGCCAAGACTTGGTGATGAACTTGTCGGCCGATTCAATGACTCGGTCCGGGTCATCCACCTCTGCCATGGCTTCTCTTCTCCTCTTTCTAGCGCTCACTGTCGGAGAATGCGCCAACTGTTGCTTGCAACTGTGACCCGCCATTGCCACTGCTATGAACGTCAACCCTCCTACTACCGCTATCGGCGCAAATTCCCCCGTCACCGAGAATCTATTCGTGTGTGTGTATATATATATATATATTTTTAAATTCGGATCATTAATAACAAGTTTTTTGTACATATATTCAAACGTGAAATATTTTCATTCGAGAATCATGGATTTGAGTTTTGGGTTCCGAAATATAAAACTCTAGACGTTCGAATTATAATACGACTATTCTCAAATTTGTCGGGTAACCAAAATCTTATCCATACTAACGGTAATATAAAAATGATATATTGTTCTTGTCACTAGAAATGAGAATCATGGATTCGAGATCATAATATCTCCAAGAATTCTGCTGAAGCGTAATGCCAAAACTAATATTTATTATTGAATCTCTATCATTTTTTATTTGTTATATCATTACCTGAAATAACCAATTACTTGAAAGGGGAAAAAAAGAAAAAGGAAAAATCTTACTTGTTGTAGGCGGATTTGGCATTGCCGGTGACGGCGGTCGCAAATCGACGGCCTCCGGCGAGCTGATTTCCGACAGATCTCAACTGACTCTAATAGGAATTAATTAAAAAAAAAAAGAGGAGACAATTTTATAAAAGATTAAAATCATTTTTTTTTCATGAATCAAGAAAAAATGATTCTTATTGAGAAACAATAGAGAAATTACACTTACGGTGATTCTGAAAGCCATTCTGTTTTTTGAATAATAATTAATAGAAGAAGTGAAATGTTTTACTTTTTTGGTATGGAAATGAAACGATGCAAGTGTTATTTATAAGCAACGAAAGTGAATATATTTAGAATCGCGATAACCATTGGTGGAGGAAAATTTCAAAGATACGATTTGTATAATTCTCATACAAATTTAGTCTCCAAATTCACACCAACCGTTTTTCCTCTTCTATTGTGCAGTAATTTTTTGAAAAGAAAATTTCAAACCCAAGTATTTTTCTAGAACACACAAAAAAATATTTTTTTTTAACTTTTTAAAGATATAAAATCAATTATCCATAAATCCAAGTTAACTTAAATTGTCCATTTCAATTTTAATAAAAATAAAAGTTCATAAAATTAAAAGTTTTTGGATGTTTTTATAAAGATAAAGATATATTAGGGTGGATGATTAAGATGTTAGTAGATGTTTATGGAAGAAGTCTTTGTCAATACAATCATCATCAAATTTATAAATGCTTGCCTAGGTTACAAAAAAAAAAGTTTGATTAAGGAACAACTCTAGATGTGTCAAACGTTATTAAAAATAAAATAATAGGGATAAATTAAAAATCCCATAAACTATTTTATTATTCAAAATAATCTTGTACTGTAAATTTATTATAAAAATTTATCTAACTATTAATTGAAAAAATCAACTATATATTTACTAAAAAATATACAACTTTAAATTTGTTATAAGAAGATCATCAACTATTATTTTCGAAGAAAAAAAAAACATCAATTATCTAACTTACTAAAAAAATATTCTAGTCCATCAAGACATACGCGCAATCCCTAACGTCGAAGCACAACCTCACCATCAAGGAATCATACGCAACTGAAACTCCTTCCAAATTTCGTGGAATGATGACCATATCTCTACAATCTATCCATTTCATCTCTATTTTTCTTTTATTTAAATATCTTTTTGTATATTTAATTGAGTCAAGGATAATTTCATTCTTTATATATATATATATATATATATATAGAGAGAGAGAGAGATTATGATGTGGCTCGCCACATGATATCAGCAGCTAATACAAATCAAAGACTATAAGAAAAAAATATAAATTGGACTGTAAATAATGTAACATTTTATTTAAATTGAATACGATCCAATCGGGATTCTAACAAGAGTTTGCAGAACACTCGAACTAGCTCTTCGTGCAGGTTTCCGAGCATGAATTCAAGCAGGTTTCCACCTTCTTTTCATCTGTCCAATAATGAAAAAAACAAACAATGAGACGACAATGGTGAACTAAATCAATCAACACACACACACACACATATATATATATATATATATATATATATATATATATATATATTATGTGCAAATACACGAGAAAGGGTAGAGAGAATTACTGGGATTTTGGAGAGAGCTGAGGCTGATACAACGTGAAGAAGCGCAACTAAGCTGGCAAAGGTGTTGAGTTAGATCCATATTTTGTGAGGGAGTGAGGGAAGAAAAAGTTGGAGGTTGAAGACAATCCTTCAGACAAGTGAAAGGACAAACGAATGCCTGCCACTTCTTCTGCATCGCACAAACCACAAAACATCCTTTGTAACACTCTACCAATGAATCAGCTTCTGTCTTAACCACAAGTGTCCCCATCGCCATCACCATCACCATCACCACCACAGTACTCTTCATCTCTCTCCCTCTCTCTCTCTATCTCTATACACGTATGTGGGTATTCTTTGTATAGTCGAGGGTGGGTATAAGAATTTTTTTTACCATATGGGTTATGTGTATTGTCCATATTAAGTGGACTATGCAATTATAACATGTATAGAATAATATCTTCATCACAGAGTATAAACCTCAAATTTGACACGTTAGTTGGCTCATTTGCATATTCCATGTATATCAGCAGCGCCTGGATAAGTTTGGAAAGCAAAATATGTCGTTCAGATTTTTTACCATAAATGTAATTTATACAATTTTTTTTTTCAGGAAAAGGAACTGTATCTATTTTTTTTTTTTTTGTGTTTGTATTTAAAACATTTTTTTTTAACAAAAAATGCTTGTAATATAGTGACCAGAATTACAGAAGGGAACCACTAAGCGGTAGTCTGTGTTACATGAAGGCTTGATGATACAAAAGAATAAGTCAAAAACAATTTGAAGAAAGAGCAACCAGGTGCTGATGAACACCTTTGTAGCAACTCACTGGCGAGCCCAGGTTGTGTGGTTCTGATCCCCGCAAATTTCACTCGAAAGGCTACGTCAATGGCTGACAGATCTTTGAAGCGAGCCGAGCCTTTCGGACCATATATTATAGATGTATAGCTGCCAACTTATATACAGGCGCCACGATATCGGGTCTGGTTATCCCAATTCCTCAATAGCCAGTCAAGGGTGCTGTCCCGAGTTAATGACTGAGGTAGAGGAGCCCACTTACGTAACGTGAATTGCAGTAATTCACTGAGATTCGGGCATAGATGGGCTCTTCTTTCGGAATCCCCCATGAGCTCATTCGGTATCTTTCTTTCGTCGGACGCCGGTTCTGTGCGAATAGCCAAGTGACGGATCACACTACCTTGTGCCAGAATATCTTGCCATTATCCTTGAGGAGGAATGAGCTCCCGCTTTCCAAGTTGGTATATATGTCTTCTTGGGGTGTTAGAACTTTGCCTGCCACGTAAATGTTAAGATTTAAAGAGTGCTCCGATCTTGCTTCCGGCAACGTCCAAGTGTAAGCTCCGTATAGATCCGCCACATGTGTCCTTTCTGAGGTACCAAGTCGTTGCGAACCTGTGACACCCGTTACCCATGTCCCATTACATGGACTAATCCAAATAATATATTCATAATATAAAAATACAGAAAAATTTAAAACTTTTTAACACGCACACCAAATCCATTAAAGCAAAATATTCGTTCGAGACTTACAATAAGAAAATGTGTCGTCATTTGAAATTCATAATAGGAATACAGAATTTCAAGAACAAGATTAATACAAATATAACTCAAATAAAAAAGTCCAAAATACAGTGAAACTTGTCCTGGATCAGTTATCCACGTGCTAACGAGTATGTTATTCTAAACCTGAAATACTGCGTAACGACATCCTAAACAATTGTTTAGAGAGTGAAATCGGGTTATAAACCCCATAAAATCTATTCAAGTAGAAACATGTAAAATCAAACGTTTATCTCACATTTTAATGGTATTAAATTTTATTTTGTCCATTTCATTTATTACATGATTCGTCACTCTTTCGCACACACATATATATAACAATCACTTAACATTCACATTTGTTCATGTCCATATCTCTACGTTATTAGTTTATTTCCATTCACTTAGTATATAAGTATCTAATCATTCTTTTAAGCCACATAATTTTTGTTTATCCATTTTCGTAAATCAATATGACGTCCATTAATTACACGCACAAATAATGTCCGTATGACTACGTCATAGGACTGTAATACCACTTCTTCGCTCACCCGTGTTACCATAACCACCAATTCATAATGTAACGCAAATTCAAGTCGTTAACCCACACTACCTCCTTATCTCTTCACATCATCGAATCCATAGCGTACGCATACAGTTTGATCCAATCTCTTATCCCTCTAGATATATCCTTTGTCGCCGGTGAATACGAAAACAGTATCATCCATCAATTTGTTAGCCTATACTTTGGTACCGACTATTTCGTTAACCTTTACCACCCGCACTGATCATCCGCTACGGAAATACTCGTCGGACTCGATCGAACTCAAATCCTCAGAGCACCACCGTACCACCCCCTCGATGATAGTACCGACTCAATTCGTTAACCCGTGTTGAACAGTACGAACTCAAGTCGTCAACCAATACTGTGCGGTACTGACTCAAGTAGTCAAGCTGTACACGCACATCGAATATCAAGTCTGTTTGTTTATTATATGTCCGAAGATAATTGGTGGTTATCAACGAACCGTACTTTCTCATCAACGTAACAACACTGGCTCAAGCCGTTGATTGGTACTGTTATGCGAGTCATCGGGGTTGCCAATCACCATTCACTTTGGATTATTGGCGCGATCATGACATCGTTACAAACACAATCATGTCTTGCTTATATAACACGTGACCCAGATCACGTGTTCTATAACTAAGATGATCACATGGTTTTTCTATCGGTTTTCTAACGTTACGCACTTCATTTTGACATACACTGGCATTTTAGAACGTTAGACGACCATGGTTTTGGTCTTTTCTTGCTTATCTTCTACAAGGCGATTCTACGAGGATTCTCATGAGCATAGCATGGAAAAAAAATAGAACTTGCGTAAGCCTGGGAAAGCTCAGAAGAAACAGGCGGACTGCCTCAGTAAAAGTGAGCGGTCGCTCGCTATGCAACAGAAGAAAACAGGCGACCCGCCTGTTTTGTCGGGCGACCAGTCGAATTCAATTGACAAGGAAACGAGTAACCTAGAGAAGAAAATGGACGACCCATAAGAGAAAATGAGCGATCGCCCGAAATCAAATCCGGTCTAAAAAAGAAAAATCCGAATCTTGAGGAAAAAAATCTAATTCGCTTTATCATAAAAAGGAAAAAAGGAAAGGAGAGAAGGGAGATTTATTCGGACTTAGCCACAAATCACCCTGAAGAGGAATTTGGGAGATATGAAGATCCAGAGAGACATCTTGAAAGAGAATATCATCATTGAAGATCATTTTGAATATCTCTTCTCTTTTTCTATAGCTTCTCTTCGTATTTTCTGTTGTTAGTTATAAATCTCCACATTTTCGTAAGTTTACAAAAGGTTTGTTTATTTTCTGTTAAGATGTTGGACTTTTGTACTATTGTTAGGTTGAAACCTCACATTAACATCTTAAAAATGTTATTCTTTTATAAGGGCAAGGCGAAATTCTTGATACACGTAAAAAGGCAAACAAAAGATTTGATATTTCTCTTCACAACATCCAACACAAGACATCCTTTGTAACATCCTTTTGTGGGCATTCATATTTTTTCTGTGATTGAGATCTGTATTTACAAGGGATATGGCTCCGATAGCGAGTTTTACATGACTTTCACTGTTTGACACGTGCTGGTGAAAAACAACCATGACTTTAACAATCATTGAAGCAATGGTTGATGATTAGATTCTGTGTATTTATATGTATTTTATTCTGAAATAAACTTTGTCGTGTTTAATCAGTGAGGTAGAGATTATAATTAATGTACACCAATGTTTAGGGTTACATAGAATAATTACGAAGGAATTGAACCGAGAAGAATTCAGTTCTTTTTTTTTTTTTGATAAAAGAGAAGAAAATTTTATTATGTTAATCCCTCCATGAAGAAAATCGTACAAATCATAGGTTATTCGCAAATTATTATTTGTAAATTATTTATATGGTACGATACAACGGGATTCTAAAAATCGGTTGTCTGAACACTCAAATCAGTTCTTTATGCATGAGTGCGAGCAGGCGTTCAGGCAATTTTCTACCTCCTCTTCATCTGGTGACAACAAAAAGAGAACCAGACAAAGTTAGAGATCTAAAAACAGTGAATGTAATCAATCATTTCAATACACTCACCAATATATATATATATATAATAGTATGTATAGATGCAAATATCAGAGAATGGGTAGAGAGAGAATTACTGGGATTTTGGACAGAGCTGTGGTCGAGACAGTTAGAAGAAGCGCAGCCAAGTTTGCAGAAGTAATGGGTTTGATCAGAGGAAGAGAGAGAAGGAGATCCAGGACTAACACATGTCTTCAGACACGTCAAAGGACACATGTATGCTTTGAACTTCATCTCAAGAGCACATCCCAAAAGACATTTCTTGTAACAATCTCCAAACTGACCTGCTTCTGTCTGAATAGCTGATGTCCCTATCACCACCACCACCATCATCACCACCGCACTCATCACTCTCTTGCTCTCCATCTCTTTCTCTCTCTCTCTCTATATATGTATATATGTTTATCTCTCTATATATATGTATGTATATATCTGTGTATGTGTGAGTGTTCTATCTGCGTAGTTTGTAGCTTTATATAAGCTAACGGGTTGTGCGTATTTTTCATATTAAATAGATAATTCCGTTGCATTTCTAGAAAAACATATCTTTATAGAGTATAAACCTGGAGAATCCAGCTCAAGATTCGGTGTTACTTAGCATATTAGGAGATTCAATGTATATCAGCAGCACAACATGCGACCTATTCGGAAAGTAAAATTTTTTTTATACCATTAAATTAAATTTTTAGACATAAAAGGAATGGGTGCATCTGTATATTAGTAAATATGAGTTTATCTAATTATAAAGAAACTTTTTTAAACATGTGTATTTACTTAAAATACTCTACTGTGCACATAATACAACAAAATAAAGAGCCTAAAATGCATTCTTCAAAAATACCAAACATAATAGGTAACAATTTAATCTTATGGAGTATCTCTCACGTGTATTCTAAATCTAAAATTGGACAAAATTACGAAAAAATTGAATACATTTTTATTGGTTACAAATATTATATTTAAGTTTTATCATATATTAATATTTGATGGATACCAAATTATTAATTTGATTTTTCTATAACAATTAGAAAATTTTCGTGGATTTTTATAATAATTTTAATAAAAAAAATTATCAACTATTTAAAATTATAAAAATATTCTAGTTTAAATAGAAAAATCTATAATCAATAAAATATATTCAATTTACAATATTATATATAAAAATTATCATATTTTTATTTTATTTTTAAAAATACATATATTATTTCTTATATTTACAACCAATAAAATAGAAACAATTTGCAACCTCTCAAATATTAATATGTGATAAAATTTAAAATATAATATTTACAACCAATAAAATAGATTTGATTTTAAATATAACATATGTATAAAAATTTATTATATTAAGATTGATCTTTATAATATTTATATAAATTTAAATACGATAAATTTAATTAAATATTATATTTTTATTATCATTTTTAAAATTGTATAATTTATATATATATATTCTATTCAATTTTATAAATTTTTATAATAAATATAAAGCATAATATTTTTTGAATAATTTAGATATATATTGATTTCTTTTTATTAAAATTAATAATTGATGATTTTTTTTAAGAAATTCAAAATCAAAGATTGTTTTAAATCAGTTTATATAGTTAATGATTTTTTTTACTCAAAATTAATTGTTGATAGTTTTTTCTTTTGTATAATGAAATAGTTGAAAGTTTTTTTGAATTTGTCTCTAAATTTAAAAATGAGATAATTGAATCATGTGAATTCAAATATGATTGATTTTCATGTGTATCTAATCTATATCCATAATACCCACAACTAGGGGTGGACAAAATATCCGAAAAATCCGAACCGATCCGTTATTCGATTCATATCCGAACCGAAAATTCGGATATCCGGAGTTTACGGATCGGATACGGATATTTCTTTAGAGATATTTGTCGGATACGGATCGGATACGGATATTAAAATTGAATTATCCGACATATCCGATCCGATCCGTATTTTGTAAT